AAAATAGATGATTGAATACTTATAGGCATGCAAAGAAAGTGGCACCAGCTATAAAAACAAAAAAGACGGAGTAGATGTCTCAGAGAAACCCTCTGAATCGTGTTAAACCAAATTTTGAGAAACAGAATTTAAGAAGCCGAAGTAGGGCCAGCAGGTGGCGCGATGGTTAAGGGGGCTGTATCCCAGATGGCCGACAGCACAGTTCAAGTCCAGGACCCGGTAGCTTGGCGGATGCATTAGGTGTCTGTGCTCAAAACCCCAAGGAAAGAATGGAGGAGAAGGGATTGCAGTGTGACCATCCCCCCAGGGGGTGATTTCTCATTTTTTTTCTCTCTTTCCCCGAACCCCCAGCAAGAGCTTACACTCTATAGTGGATTTTTTTTTTTTGAGAGATTTTCACTGTAGGGCGTGTGCGCTCGCCAGACAGATAGAGAGAGACATAGAGACAGAAAGCGAGAAATCACCCCCCAGGGGGGATGGTCACGCTGCAATCCCTTCTCCTCCATTCTCCTCTCGGGATCTTGGGCCCGCACGCACATGCGCCCGGTGTGAGTTTTAAGCCACCGGGTCCGGGACGTGAACCGCGGTTGACTATGTGGGAGTCCAGCGACATAGCCGTTACGCTAACTGCTGGTTCCCTATAGTGGATTTTAAAAAGAAAAGAAAACTGAAGGAAGGGAAAGGAGCCGTTACTATTTTTTTAAGTTTATTTCTTCCGTGAGCGCCAGAGAGAGAGTACCCTCAACATAGTTTTAGTTCTGCAGTGCACCCCAGCTCCAGCCAGCCATGGGTCAGGCCACACGTGTTTCTAGTGGACTCGGGGAGAGCCAGAAGGCGAAGCAGGAACCTTCCCAGGAGGGTCGGCCTCCCGGAGTGGTGCATTTTACCCCTGCACCGCCATCCGGCCCCCATTGTTTTATTTGTATCCACGATGCTAGGGGGAATGTCATTAAGCTAGAAGTGAACTTCAGTCCTGTGTTGCCACTGAGCGAACTGAAGCCCAGGAAAGTAAAGGACGTCCTTGCCAGGGCCACACTGTAACCTCCCAGCAAGTTCCCACCCAGCAAGGTTGCCTGCAGGCATCTGCACCTTCCTGCTCAGGGCATGCGTCTTCTCCACAGCCTGAAGATGACCATGGACCAGACAGGCCTCCTGCTGCTCAGCGCCCCAGACAAAGTGACCATCGGCCTGTTGTCCTGGGATGGCCCTGGGAAGGGGATCCGGCTCCTCCTGCGTGACACTGACCGCTTCTCCAGCCGTGTCGGCGGGGGCCCTTGGGACCCTCCCGGGGGCCGGACTTCAGTCCTGTGTTGCCACTGAGCGAACTGAAGCCCAGGAAAGTAAAGGACGTCCTTGCCAGGGCCACACTGTAACCTCCCAGCAAGTTCCCACCCAGCAAGGTTGCCTGCAGGCATCTGCACCTTCCTGCTCAGGGCATGCGTCTTCTCCACAGCCTGAAGATGACCATGGACCAGACAGGCCTCCTGCTGCTCAGCGCCCCAGACAAAGTGACCATCGGCCTGTTGTCCTGGGATGGCCCTGGGAAGGGGATCCGGCTCCTCCTGCGTGACACTGACCGCTTCTCCAGCCGTGTCGGCGGGACCCTTGGTACTCTGCCTGGGCTCAGAGCGCCCGCTAACCCCCCCGCCCGCGTCTCCCAGACCTCTGTCTTTACCCTTGGCTGACCTGCCCTTTCCGTCTCAGGCCAGTTTTACCAGGAGGTGCTCTGGGAGGCCCTAGCTGCTGAGACGGACAGACGAACACTGAGGGTTCAGGGGAACGACTACTCTGCCACCAGGTGAGTCTGGCAGAGTGAGGCGGGGCAGCTGGGAGCTGGGCTCTGCAGGACCCCCTCCTCTGTCCTTGCCCAGGAGCCAGAAACAGGAAAGGCTGATGCCTTAGGCAACTGAGCGAGCTCTCAGTGACCCCCACGGCAGAGGGTTAACTCACTCTCCCAGAGCACACTGGTCTGAGGTTACCGGGGTTGGTCGCAGACAGTAGGAAGCTCTCCCCATCCCTGCTCCCGACTCTCAGAGCCCTAGACCCCGGAGACCACACACGCTGGGTCCCCGTGGGTAACTCTCTGGGTGACCAGCCCTGGCAGCCCATACTAGGGGAAATTGTAGAAGGACCCCAGGATGTCCCACCTTCCATGTCCACCAGCTGTCCCCCACTCTTCCCACCATACTGGAGGTTTGCTGACTACCTGTCTGTCCATCTGTCTGCCTGTCAATCCCAGTGAGCTCAAGCTGGATTACCAGGAGGGGCCTCCAGGGACAGAGATGGCCTGCTGGACCGTGGAGTTGTAGTTCTGCTGGGAGGCGCTGCGCCTGCCTCCTGCTGCCCCACTGTGGGCAGACGGCTGCCACCCTGGCACCACAGGGCCACCTGTGGGCCTGGGCCACACCGCAGAGGGGACCTCCACTCGTTACAAATAAAGAAAGGTGGCGTGAGCTCGGGGAGTGGGCATCTCTGTTTCTGTCTGACCAAATCCCAGGACTTCCGAATCATATCATGGAGCACCAGCCCTCGAGGGCCTGGGGCAGTACGGCCCGTGGAGAGCTTTGTCTTACACGCAGGGAAACTGAGACTAAGCCACCCGGTTAAAATGTGGCTCTGAGACAGGCTTCCCAAGGGGCTAGCCCAGTGGTTAACAGCTGTGTGGAACAAGCTGGACCCCACATAGCCAGGATTTGTTGAGTCCCCACCCCAGTGACTTGAAAAATCATGCCAGTTGTACACACATATGCCCAGGATCCTGTCAGGATAGAGAATTGAAGGAGAAAAGATGGAGAGAGGGAGAAAGCAAGCCCCCATGGGGCATGGTCACACCTCAACCCCTTCCCCATCGTGCCGGGACTCAGAGCGTGCACACACATGTGCCTGGTGTGTCTGTCTGTTCCTTTCTCCCTCCCTCCCTCCTTCCCTCTCTCCTCTCTTTCACTAGGGGGCCCATACACTCACCAGAGAGAGAGGAAGAGTGAGAAAGTCCCCTCTGTGCCAGGTGCCCGTACTGTGATCCCTTCTCCTTTGCTACCTCCTTTTGGGACCTGCGGCATGCACCCAGCACAGTCAGCCGTGTGGGACCCAGCCCCCCCCCCCCACCCCATGGGTTGGCCATTCTCATGCGTTTTTTTTTTAAGCTGCCAGAGCCAGGATTGTGATTGGCCATGTGGGATCTGGCTGCCTCACCCAGCAGGCCCCAGGGCCGACCCAGATTGGAATTCTTTATAGTTCAACTCCCAGACTTAATTCGCTTCTGGGCCCCCTTTGCACTAGACTCTGCCGTGCGCAACTTGATTTTCACACCTGTGCTCAGAGAAGAGCGCGGCCTCGGGCCTGCGGTGGGGCGCGCCCTGGTGTGCGGGGATGAGAGTGCAGGAGCCACCCAAGCCCGCCCTCCAGGAAGCGGCCACCTGGGCTAGACTGCGGAATATGTGCCATGGCGGTGTCACGGTTGAGTTTGTGCCCCTGCAGCTTGCGTGCGGCGGGTGCTCTCCGGGAACAGATGGAAGGGCGTCCATGCCCTCACTCCTTGCCCACCAGGTGCCTTCCGGCACCTACTCGGGCCAGATGCCGGGGTACCGGGGGCACCATCACAGACACAGCTGCCTCTCAGAAAACAACCAGGTGCTGCAGGAGGTCAGGGCGAGACATAGTGCTGGGGAGGTCTCGTGGAGGCGGCGGTGTCGGCTTGAGTTTGGAGAGTAAAGAAACACTGGCTCAGTAGCTGTAAAGGCCAAGGACATTCACTGGAGGGACAGCACTTGCCCTGGCCCGGAGCAAGGATGCTGCATTGGAGTTCAGGGGGTTCCGGGGGCGCAGTGGAGCAGGGGAAGGCCTGTCCAGCACAGGCTGCACATCTCGCCATGGGGCAGGGCCTCTCCCCTGAGAGCCAGGGCGGCGTGGCACGCAGACAACACAGTCTGCCTGCGTGGAGGGTCTCCCTGCCTGTGTGTCATGGGGAGGGTGCAGGATTCCGACCGGGACCCTCCCCTGCCTTTCTCCTAGCCTGCTCGGTGTGGCTGCCAACCAGAGTGGCAGAGCAAGACGGGCACCTCAGCAATACCAGAAGCCACCACAGCTTGGCAGACGGTTCGCCCCCTTGCGCAGATGTGCAAACTGGCCTCAAGAGGACTGGCTTAAAGCCACCTGACTCCTCAGCAGCCCAGGACTGGCTGGGGGGGGAGGGGCCGCCGGTTTA